AATTTACCAAATGCTTAACCGTCTGCGAATTTAACTCCCTATATAATCTGCCGGATTTAACAGCAGCAGTCGCCACGTTTTTCATATCAGCGGCTCTTACTCTTTGTGAGTTGAAAACGGCTTCATCCGTCTCAAACTTGGTCAATTTCACAAATGCCAACCCCAATTCCCCCATTGTCTCTCCTATGTCTTGCTGAGCTTTTACCAGAGCCTCAGCCTGCAAAACCAGGCATAAATACAAAACATTCACAAACAAAAACACCACCAATAACCAAACAAACTCCTATCATCCATCCTTTGTACTAGATATTCAGTTGCCAAATTTGTCAATTGTCACCATGAAATGGGCCCATTAAAGGGGAAAAAAACATTCATTCATTCATCAATAAATGCTATTAAATTTGTTCTCATTGAACTACCCCAGACTTATCCCAGTTACACCAAATTTTGGTATTGTCACAATCCAGATGCTATATTATGAACATCTCTATCTTCAAATCCTTTGTTCAAGTAAAACCAAAAACAAGATATGAACAAAGAAGGAAACGAGCACACCTGTTGAGACAAATTGCTAAGCTGTTGCTCAAACTCCAAGAGCCATTCTTTCCTCTCCAAGAACTCCTTATCTTCCTCAACAACCAGAGGCTTGACTCTTCCCCAGTCATTCACCACCGACTGTCTCAACTCCTTGAACATCCTCATCAAGTCCCCGCCGGTTCTCCCCTCCGCCGCCACAACCGAAGGCTGCTTCGGCGACACGTCCACGCTCTTCGGAAGCTGCAAAACCCTCCCTCTGGTAATCAAAAACGCTCTAAGCTCCTCACTCCTCCGAATCACCGGGTGCGCCGCCAATTTGTTCAGGTACTTCTCCACTTGAGCCCTCCGCTGCTCCACGAACTGCTCCGATTGCATCATCTGGCTCTCCACCACGCTCTTATCCGGTCGTACGGGGACGAAAAACCCTCTGTGCGTCTCCGATAACCGCTCCGACAGCGCCACCACGTCCCTGAACCGCCGCCGCACTATGAACTCGGATCCTCCGAAACCTTGAATGTTCGTCCTCATCGTGATCAGGTACGTGTAGAAAGTAGTCCGGCCGGTCGGCTCCTGCTCCTTCTGCGGCTCCGAGACCCACACCTTCAGGAAATCGGAGATTCCGTCGCCGGATTCCGATCCCGGGGAGAGCTTGGCGCTCCGGTGGCCGTTGGGTGAAGAGGAATCGAACGACGTGAAGATCGCGTCGGCGTACGACGGCGGATCCACGACGGAGTTGACGGGAGAGATCGACGGCGGAGATCGGCCGGCGC